GTATGTGAATGAATGAATATATGGATAAGTGACTGAACTTAGACTTTGAGAAAGATTCTGAAGGAATGTTCAAGATCCACAGTGCCCAAGTAGTGCCCAAGTGCTCTTATCTCCATGTGTAGATGGATTATCTAATGAAGAGTTAGTTATGATTCTTTCTCCAAATATATATTGAGCACCTACTGTATGCCTGGCATTATACTAGGCATTAATGATACAAAGATAAACATAGCCTAACCAATGTGCATAAGGAAGTAGGAGTCAATGAATAATTAGGAAAAGAAGTGTTAGGAGTATGAGATATAAATTTTTAGTAGATAAAAATTAACAGAAAAGGACAGGTGTAGCTCAGTCATGGAGCAGTTGTCTAACGTGCATGAGGCCCTGGATTCAATCCCCAGCACTGAAAAAAAAGAAGGGGAGAAGAATCTGTTGAGAGAGGAAGCTAGATATGAAAGATGATCCTAAAATTGCCTGAGAAGGGAAAATTTGGGAAGTGAAGACCACATGCTGTTTTGCTGTGAGGAATTCCCATAGGGATTCTGTCAGCATTTGCCATCAAGACATCATGCAGGGATACATGTAATTCAGTGGAGATTAATTAATTTGTGAAGTATTTTGAAACTCCTGGAACAAATGTGCCTTCTCTTACTAGTCTCTGAAACTCATAACAATGATTAAGTCTTCTTACTCTGCCTGCCTTAGCTCTTATAGAAGCATTAACATGAAATGAGATAGTGCATCTGTTGATAAGGACAAGGATTCTAACACTGTATATAAAGGGACCCCCTTCAGTTTCTTTTCTGATTCAGACACTTGAAATCTGTTGGGCAGTGGTAGAATAGTAGGCTTTCTTTCTAGGACCCTGGTCCCTGGTGCTGCTTGTCTTTCACACGGGTCTAAATATGTCTTAACATGGAATCATCCTCTCTAGCTAGGACACGAAGCCTAGGTGGGTAGGGAATTCCCCTGTTTTATTTAAATCATAGTTTTCTTTTCGTTTGGCTAGCATATTCATGATTAGTTTACTGACAATTGGGTTTTTTTTTCTTCTTATACCATATGCTATTCCATGATTCATCAGCTTTGAGTCTGTTGCCTTGAAGGTGAAACAATTTCTTCCAATGTTGATATTTCAAAATCTCATGGATAACAAGCAGACGCATATGCATAGTCCTTTCAGAAGTTTTAAACATTTGGAGATGAATGAATTATGCTGCCGCAAATGGAAAGAAGCAGTATAAACTTATAATTTTGATATCCAGTCATCTTTTGTTGGGTGATTGCTTGAACACTGATTTCGATAAAATCTGGAAGGTTTTTATATTATTCTCTCCTTGTGAAATTGTTTATGGTAGGTGTTATTATTTTTAAAATTTAGAATTTTACTTAATTGCCTTGATTTATATGCATTATGTTAGACTGACAAGATTTTTATTTTTGGAAATAAATAGGATTTAAATTCCAAATAAGCCAATATTAGCTGTTTATATTGTAATGGTGGCTTCTTTTATATATGTAATGTATAACAATGACTGTTTAAACCTCAAGAAATATTCTTTTGGTATCTGATACAGAAAACCTTTCAAATATTTTAGTAGAATATACTATGTTTTATGAAAGCAAAACAAAGCAGTTATTTCTGCCTGAACATTACATATTTAGAAGATTAAGCTTCTAATAAACATGCACTAACTTAGATTTCTGCATATAGCTTTAATCAATGTACTTAGTGTTTTGCATCATTTAGCCACCTGCCTCTTTTTTACTAAGAATGTCTGTGATTATTTTTCAGTGAACAAAACTTCCTGATTTCATGGTGTAAATAACTGTATAAGTTTTACATTTGGAGAAAGATTTTTAAGATTCTAATTCTCAGCATGTCTTCCTTCCTCTCTCCCCCTTACCTGATTTTAGCTCCTCTTTGGTTCAGGTGTGCTGGTGTCCCTAAGTCTTTCTGGGCCGCAGCTGGAGAAAGTGGTGATTGACAGAAGCCTGGTGGGGAAGCTCATCTCAGACACCATCAGTGATGGTAATTACCCCCATGTGCAAATCAATTGCCTACATTAGCAGTGGGGCAGGAGAAATAGTGTGTCAACAGGTAGACTAATTATTACCACTGGGGACTTGCAAACACAACAAGTAATTGCTTGTAATAGCATACTGACAACCCCTGGGACCAGTACAAGTTTGAACTAATATTAAATATCAATGTTTTTTTTCTTGTCAAGTGTTAGACTCATATTCTGAGTATTTTCAGTCTTCCTTTAAAAAAAAATTTTTTTAAATAGGTTTTTTTCTATTCTTTCAAAATTATTCCTCTGTTACTGACATTTCAAATATTTTCATATCAAAATTAATTTTGAATAAATAACACAAATATGTCTACACAGCCACCAGTTGAAAAAAGATCATAAGTGCTTTGGCTCTTACAGAAAGATTCTTTGTTATTAAAACCAATGAATACTATATTTTGGGAGATGTGAGGCTATATTTTCTAAGTATTAAAAATCAGTGCTATTCTGGGAGTGTAGCTCAGTGATCAAGTATTTGTCTAGCATGCCTGAGGCCTTGGTTTAAATCCCCAGCACCACAAATAAAAAAGAAAGATCAGTACCAAAAATACTGGATAAATCTGGTTCTATTAAATGGCACCACAAGTGTATGTATCATTGGTACAAAGCACAAAAAAAGATTTTAAGCTACTTATTGAATAGGAAGGTTAACTGACATTTATTAAGTCATAAAAGCTCAGTGATAGGGTGCCAACCCACCTATATCATTTAATCCAAGAAAATAACCATATAAGATATAGTTATTTCCATTTTTATTAGATGAGGACCCTAAAGTTGAGCTACTCAGGAATATGCCCAGACTTATAGAGCTAGAGAATAACTGAGCTAAGATTTGAACACAAGTTCTGACTACAGTGCTCATTTTTTTTTCCATAGCACTATGCTAACTCCTGAATTTTTTATGATGATATTCTTTCATTCAAAGTAAATGGTCTAAAAACAGTTTGTATCATCATGAAAGGTTAAAATGGTTAGTATCTTAAATTGAATAATCAAAGGAAAATGTAATCTAGAGGAGGAGAGGGCAGAGGTGAGAATAAAAAAACCTTCTGTCCACTGTGTGCTCTCTGAACAAATCAGACACAATCGTGTCACCTTAAAAAATAAATACTCTGGCCAGCACGGTGGCACATTCCCGTAATCCAGGCAGCTCCAGAGGCCAAGGCAGGAGGATTTTGAGTTCAAAGCCAGCTTCAGCAAAAGCAAGGCGCTAAGCAACTCAATGAGACCCTGTGTCTAAATAAAATACAAAATAGGACTGGGGATGTAGCTCAGTAGTGCCCCTGAGTTCAAGCCCCAGTACCAGGGGAAAAAAAAAAAAAAAGCACTCTGCAGGATTGCTGTAATTAGCAACATTACTGATAACAAGCTGAGGTAGGATTGTAAGCATGCTATTTCCCCTTCCTTGTAGGAATATGGTGCTGAGGAAGCTTCCCTGTGGAAGAGATTCCATTTTCATATTCTACTAAAAGAACATTGCAAATGAAATTGTAGCTGTGATGATTTTGTCATATTGATGCTCCTCTGTAAGAATTAAAAGGAGACTTCCAATACTATTCATGTCTCTGAGTTATCTTTTTTCACTTGTTTCTTTTATTTGTACCCAAAATAATACACTCTCATGGGACCATGATAACAATGTGATTTCTTGGCAGTTCTCCAGATTCTCCTGTAATTGTGTAGATACACTGTTGGTCACTGCTTGAATGGCCAGGGGTGTAAAAATACAAAAAAAAATTATAAAACATTCAATAATTTTTTATGCTAGGAATAACACGAAACATTCCTCAGGTTCCTATTATATATTTTAATCATAATTTCATATACCATTAATGGTTGTTTATATAACCCTGCTATTAATTATCTGTCTACTTGTATGCTTTAGAAATGAAGCTGTAGATGTGTTTTTGCTAATCTTCATTATTAAATACTAACTTATGTAATGTTCATGCTGGATATTTTCATGCAAGCTGTTAACCCTCAAAAGAAGGATCACTAATGAAAATTTAAAAAAGAGATTGGTAGAGAACACTGATTGATAGTATCCCCTAATCAGTCCACTTATTTTTAGATGGTTTGTGGTATATGAACATAGAATTAGAGTCTAAGCACAAATGAAAATAAATGTTGTTTTTCCATCATCACATTCAGGTTTGAAATAGTCTTTCTTATATGCTTTTCTAGTCTTGGTTCCACATATGTGTCATTTAGAGTGATCTCCAAACATCAGTGTATATTGAAATAGTCATAAGAAAAAGGGGAAGACACCAAATCCATATGAATAGATTGACAGTTATCATTCATTTTTAATATGTTCAATATCCTTGTAAAACATCATGCTATTTAGGAGACATTAGTGATTTAAATTATATTTATCTTCTGAAAATAGATTTTGTTATAGTATTTCAGTGAAAAACATCTGTTATATTCATTATAATTTTATTCTAACTGGTATTATCAAACCTTTTTTTTTAAGCTCTTCTCACAGACAGCTTCATCATCTTATCATTTTTGGTGCAGAACAAACTATGTTTTATTCAGTTTTCCAAGAAGATGGATTCTCCTGATATAAACAAAAGATTGGAAAAACTCTCAGCCTTAGATTACAAGGTAGAGATTTCAATGTGTATAGTCATATTATTAGTTCTTAAGGCGTACTAGAGTATTACATGAATTGATGTTATGTTTATTTTCCTTGAACCTTTCAAGATTTCAGAAAAACCAGAATTATTGTAGGATTAAAAGCTTTATTCATATAAACAGTGGACATCCTAACTTTTCTTTTTCACTCTATGAAGAGAAGAGGTCTAACACTGGCATATTTGGAGCAGTTTTTATAGTACTTATGGAAGTCAAAGGCAAGTTACACTTTTGAAAATGGTTTTCTTGCCAGCAGCAATATACACACCAATCTCATTTTCCCCTAAGAACTCATATAGCTGCTGTGGTTTCCACTTCACAAGAAACAAAACATAAAACAACAATACCAGCCTCACCAACAACAAAACACATTAAAAAAAAAAAAGACTTATCAAGGACTTTATATTTATTAAGGCAAGATTTTTATTTTAAGTGATATGTTTAAATTTTTCATATTACATTTTAACCGCTGGGAAGACATACTCTCTGCTAGGATGGGTATCTAATACATTTTCCAGGCTGTTTCAGTTCAAGGCCTCTTTTCAGCAATGACTTGTGTTTGCAAGATTGATCCAGCCTCTGTGTCATGGATTTGAGACAGTTCACTGTTCATTGGGAACACAACTGATATACAGCTTCCTTAAGAAAGATGCACACTTATGTCATACCTAGAGTATTTATAGCAAAGACAAAGATTTTTAGAAGCTAGCTCTGTGTCTGAAATTTGTGTATTTTTAGAAAAGTTGTATTTTACTGAGCTTTTTGCCATTTGGGATTATTATTTATTATGATTGACTTGGTAGTACTATGGGGATTGTTTAGTAAAAGCATCTATTATTTAATAAAATTTGGGGGCATGGACTAAAGTACATGAAGCAAGGTTTTCATTATGGTTTAACTACAGTCTGGTTTTGTTTGTCAGCTTTGTGGTGCTTCTATAAAACTTTATGTAATGTTGATTTTCTTCAATTGAAAATCAGTGATACATATTAGATTTGGTTAGTCAAAAATATAATTTCCTTTAGCATTATTAAAATTATGTTATTTTCTAAACAGCTACCTGTAGATTTATTTGAAATATTTTTTACTTACTGATATTGGCCTTTAAAATATGCCAGTATGCATTAACTGAAAACATTTAAAGTAAGTGTTGTTAATGATGTTATACAAAATTTTGTATGATTGTTTCTTCATCTTAGGTTTGATGAGTAGCTTGATTATTCTTCTCAACTGATAGATAAATAGCTCCCTGATAATGAGAACAGAGAAAAACTATCAGGTTATCAGTTTTCCTTATGAAAAGATGTGGAAAATAGACCTAGTCTTTGGGTTATTATACCTTAAACAGGCAATTAATTTTTTTTTACTCTTTATGCCTTTGGATTTGGAAAATTAGGAACATGGACTCTCCACATTATTTCTATACATTAGAGAAGTAATCTCTTTCCCTTTGGAAAACCCATGAATTTCACTTCATATTTTAATATTTAAAATATAAATATATGAATAATTATATCCATTCAAGGGATATTTTAAGAAATTTGTTTATTATGACAGGATGTTAATAACTCCTGATCACGACAGAATATTAATACCATTAATATTCACAGGAAATGTGAAATTTCAGATAATTGATTTACTTATATAAGAACTGAAAATGTCAGTCACTCATTTTAACTCTATTCTCTTGTCTAGAAATTTTTAAATAACATGCTTACATGGCAAGTTGGACATCAAAATAGAATGTGTGTGTATTTGTAAGTACTTAGCAATTCCAAAGTGGTATTTCTCTTAAGTATGAAGTTAAAATAATATACTGAGAACTTAAATATAGAAATTTGCACTTAAAAGCACAAGGTACATCTGTGTTTTGTCCTTGCCCAGTTGGATTTTAAAACAAGGAAGTGATAATAGAGAGTATTATAATTCTGCTTTTCTTTACAACTGTGCCATAATTTAATTATTTCAGATTGAAATAATTTTGGCAAAGGAAATTTCAGGGTAAATATTCCTGAAACTGTTGACCTTTAACAAGTTTTCCTGTCTATATTTTAAAAATCCAATTCAATTTAACAGTGAAGGGACAGTGTAGGGAGTTAAATGTTTACCATGAGAGAACAACACTGGTAATTACTTTGATTTCAGTTCCTTTTGATGTGCATTCAGAGGATGAAGAGGTCAATAATATTATGGCCATGCAAATAGAAAAGGATTCCTTTTGACCATATTGAAAAAAAATAGCAGAGGATTATTAAAGCATTAACCTTGATTTTAATGGCCTTGGTTGAGTGGTGAGATCACAATTTGGATGAGCCTGATTATTTACTAAATACAATACATAAATGCAACGGGTTCTTAACACCCATTGCACTCTGGCATTATCGCATTACTGCCATCCTTTGTTGCCTTGCAGACAGGAATATGAAAGCAATCTGTCATGTAGTGAGACTGGCTCCAGAAGCATTTCTCTGATAAGAAGACCCCCTGCCCTTTGCTAGTGTCTGGTCCAGTAGGCTTAGCCATGCGCTTAATCCCCAGAAAGTGGTTCGATTATTGCTGACCAGCAATGGCAAGATAGTTTTTTTTTCTTCCAAGCTATCAACCTTCCATTAATTCCTTAAGCAGAAATACGGTGCAATCTATATTTCCTTGGCATGTGTCACCCAGATGGTGCCGTGCTTATGTTTTCAAATAACCATGTTCCAAAATAACATAGTTTGAATAATAAATTCTACAAATCCTTCCTAAGAAAGAGGAGCATAATTCTCAGAAGCTGCATAAACTTTTACGCATGATGCTGTGGCTTATCCCTTTTATGCAGAATATATGTGTATATGTCTCGTATATTCTTTAAAGAGATATTTGCCTCAAGTTGTTTTTCCTTTTATTGTTGTCAGTCATTGTTAACATGTTATGTCTTAAACAGTAGTTCGACACTCTTGGTCAGTAGTACTGAACTTGTCATTTAATACAGCTGGTCTTAAATCCTATGTGTAGGTCGATGCTGTCAAGCAACCATGACTGTACATTTTGGTATTGATTGGAATTGCTACATTCAATTCCTCCCTAACTCACATTTCTTCTTTTCCTTTCCTCTGCTAAAAATGGGGAGAATTTGAACATATGTCTTTTTTATATATGTGTCAAAAGAATTTGGTAAATTCTGACACTTTCTTAAGCACATGTTTAACATGCATATTTACTTGCATGTATTTACATTTACAGATGCTTTAATTTTAGTAATACTTAAAGTATTTTGCATCTTTTAAAAAGAAATGTTTCTTGTATTCTTTTTTTTTTAACCATTAGATTTCCTATTATGAATTACCTGGTCCAGTAAACAGGACAGCAGAGCGTCGTCTAGCTATCAATTGTATTCAGGATATGGTTGTTTGCTGGTGGCCACTGGTTAGTGATGATGCTTGGCCTTGGGCCCCAATTTCTTCAGAGAAGGACAGAGCCAATCTTCTGCTCCTGGGTTATACTCAAGGAAAACTGGAGGTAAATTTAAAATAAATATATATCTCTTAATGAAGTGCAAGTAAAATAGTGTTATTAGTTTTGCTGTTCTGAGAAAAATATGAATATTGTCTTAAACCTATTGTTTATTTTCAAATACTCAAAAAAAAAGAAATTATATATGAAGTGAAATCTTAAAAAAGTATGAGAGCTGGAGGATAAATAGACAATTCCAAGGCTGACTGGAATACTGTAATGATTAAAAACACAGGCTTCTAGGTTCAAATCCTAGCTCTTCTACTACTTAGCTGTATGTGCTTGAGCAAGTTACTAACCTCTATGTGCTGTAGTTTCATTATTTGAAAAATAAGTAAATATAGATAAATAAGTTAATACATGCATTTACAGTAAACTCTGAATCACTATTCACTATTGTCATTATCATTAGTACTATCCTACAATTTGTTCATTATTTCATAACTATGAAAGTTATGTTACCAGTTATTCTCTTCAGACTTCAATCAGTCAATTAACAAACATTAGTCAAATGCCTATTTTGTATAAGGCCCTGTGATGCCAAATGACCAGTGGGATGAGAAGATGTAAGAAAAGCTATAAAGCAGCAGCCTTCTCATTGCAGTATCCTGTCTCTAACAGGAGCACCAAAAATGTTAATCTACCAGGAGAGGACAAAATCCCCACTCTATTCCTGACAATGGTTTATTCATTCACTCTTGTAAACAAACCTGTGTGTATTTTCAGTTTGTACCTATACTTTGAATACAGAATTCTCTGTTTATCTTTTTTTATAACTTGTAAAAAAGAGCTCTCCCTCCCTTTTTGTTCAAGTTTTATCTGGTGAAATGGTGTGTTCTTTTATTTTCCTCTAAATCTGTTATCTTTTAGACTTTTGAAGAGTATTTCTCAGAATTAGTATTCTGAGATAAAATGAACAAGTCTATTTTCTCTATCTACCTCTCTGATTTTATAAACTGGGAGACTGGCTTTTAAGACCAAAGAGTCCTAATATTTTATGCACAGTATTTATGCATGTCTTCCTTAGGAATCTTCTCAATCTGCTATAGAGAATTTGATTACTTTTTCTAGAATTTTTCCAATTCGGTTGTAATGACTAAAATCACTGAGAGTGCTTCAGGTGTGGATTTTATGGGACAGAGCAAGTGCTGGTTCCCTGCACATCCTGTCTGTGTCCACCATTTTATTGATTTGGGTTCAGAAGCTCCTTGAGTAAAAGTCTTCTTATACATGATTTTAAGTAATTAAGCTAATTATAATTCCATTAAATGTTCTGTATATAATAAAAGTGAAAACAATTAAATCAGCCTTTAGTTATACACTTTACAAATTACCTTCATTTGAAATGAGTGCACAGAATGAAATTAGGGTTGTCTAAAAGCATGTTCATGTGGCCTGTGTCCCTCATTACCTGATGTCATCTACATCATAGACATCAGAGTTGAACAGATCTGGGTTTGTCTGTTGATTACACCATTTGCTAACTATAACCTTAATCAAGTTTATGCCTCTAAACTTCTTCCTGCCTTTTGCTAATTCTGTGTTCTGTGGCTTTAGGTAGATCACCTACCCTGGCTGACTCTAGTTTTCTTATTTTTAAAGTGATAGATTTAAACCAGATAGGTCACCTTCAGGTCCCTGACAGTTCAAAAATGTGCTTATCTGGATTCTGAAGCACAGATCTTGTTTAGCCATTGCCTGTTCAAATGACTTCAGTAGATGCTGAAACTAAATTCAGCCTCAACACTGAAAAGCCTGTGATGATTGGCCTTGACCTACTTTCCCAGTGTTCTTTTCTTATATAAATGTATGCTCTAGCCAGATGAATTACTTACTGCTTCATTATTTCCCATTACCTGCATGCGCACATTAATGGTTTTTCCTACCTGAAAAAGTATGTCATTCAGCAACTATTGAGTATGACCGTAAGTAGATACTGTATTTCATACCAGGAGATATGATTAAGAAACTATCCTGCCTGCAGTGATCTTAGTGTCCACTAGTGAAAGAAAAAGTGTGAATGTACTGTGGATAGAGTATGTGTAAACTGAAATTTTAACCACAAGGAGTTATTTATTCTGTTCAGATGATAGGGAGGGGGAGTTAAAAAGACTTGAGTACCAAAAAGAATTATCTGATACTGAGTTTTCAGTAAAACTTAACCTGTTAAATTACCTGGGTATGATGTCTTTTAAGGAGGATACAGTTTTTCATTACTGATCCATATTTAGAGTTGTTTGTTTCTGTTTTTTCCTGAGTTGTTTTCCATAATTTATATTTCTATAAAATTAAACTTTTTATATAAGTATTCAGATATATTTGCGTAAGGTTGTATATGATATTTTTGCATGATTTTTTTAAACTGCTAGGGATTAAACCCAGGGACTCACACATGCTAGGCAAATGCTTTACCACTAAGCTACATCCCAGCCCACACATGATTTTTTTTATTCACAATCATTGTATAATGTCCCCTTTGACTCCAAATCTATTAAGTATATAATTCTTTTCTTTCTGTAGCAAGGGCATTTATTTTAGAATATGACCCTTTCAGCTATTCTATCAAAATTAGCCTGCTAGGAAAGTTTGTAAAGATATCTTTTTCAAAAATGTATTTGAACTTCAGTATGCCAAAAATGAATATTTTTTGGAAAAAAAATATTTTCTAGGAAAATAATTGTTTTACTTTGTGTGTGTATGAAGATATAATCTTTAACTATGAAGTAGAGCATTTTTTTTCTTGAAACTATCATGAATTAAAACCATCAGTCTATTATAGTAGTTTTCACTAGTAGTAGGGGACTTCTTGAACTAATCACCAGAATAAAGATACAGTGTGCTTTTATACCCTAAAATTCAAACTTTTTTTTTTTTAAAGAGCAGTGTAGAGAAGAAATTTAATTTTTGGATCTGTTAAAAGTATCCGTTTTTTAAAAAGCATTTCTCATGTGGTTTTAATCAGTAAAGATAATAAGTTTTTATTTGACAGGTTCCTAGAATAGTAGTTCCTAGCCTTGACAATATATTACAATCACCTCAGAGAGGATCCACCCAGACTAGTTCCCTCAGGATCTCTGGATAGGAGGGGCCTTCATAATCTTTTCCGGGTTTCCTTGGTGATTCTCCTGGGTATTCAAGTTGAGGCCCACTGCTTTATAGCTAACTTAAAAAAAAAAAATTAGAGTTATCTTTTTTGCATAACATACCATGGAAAGGATAAAGCCCACATACTGAACCAAATAAGAGTTTTAACAGTAGATTCTAAGTAGAAAATTGGCTTACCAAGCAGCTAAAAAAAGAAAAAGAAAACAAAGGAGACAGAAATAAGCTTTCTGTGACTGAATTATCTGTCTTTCAGAAGAGAAACAGTTTTTAATTTATTTTATGGATATTAAAAACTGCTGGTCTAATTTCACACCACAGAGCTCTAAATAACAGCCCATATCTTAATTAAAAGCATAGAACAGAGGTAGTTATTTAGTCTAAGAAAAAAAATTCTTTTGAAAAATATACAGTATATAGTGTGGAAAAAATTGTTTTTTTTTTTGGTATTGGGAATTGAATCCAAGAGTGCTCTACCACTCAGCTCTTTTTTAAAATTTTATTTTGAAATAGAGTCTCACTAAGTTGCCCAGGCTGGTCTTGAACTGTGATCCTCCTGCCTCTGCCTCCCAAGCTGGAATTACAGGCATTCACCACCAATTCTGGCTAGAAAAAGAAATTTTTATCAGCAAATTCATTTAAAATATATTTTAATGGAGTATATGTACATTATTATATATGATAGTCATTTTCCCATACTTTTTTTTTTTAAGGTACTGGGGATTGAACCCAGGGGCACTGTATCACTGTGTGAAATCCCCAGGCCTTTTTTTTTTTTTTTTTTTTTTACTTTATTTTGAGATAGGGTCTCTAGTTTGTCTGGGCTGGCCTTGAATTTGTGATCCTCCTTCCTCAGCCTCTTGAGTAACTGGGATTACAGGCAAATACTACTGCGCCCTGTTCCATATACTCTTTATATTTCCTTTTAAAAAGTTATCACCATTTTCCTAGAACTATCTTTTTCATTCCCTTTGACAATAATGTGATGACAACTTATTCTGCCCTTTTATATTTGAGCAGGTATTTTAACTTTTTAGATGTGTGGATGATAATACTTTCTGAGTATGGTGTAATTTCATAATATCTTACTCAGAAAAGATAAACTGTATTTGTTGACCAAATTAATCCAAAACACATCAGCAGACCTTTTAAACTTTAAAACTGTTGTCAGGATTATGGAAATATAACCTCACAAAAATACTTTTTCCAGGGCTGGGGATGTGGCTCAAGCAGTAGCGCGCTCGCCTGGCATGCGTGCGGCCCGGGTTTGATCCTCAGCACCACATACAAACGAAGATGCTGTGTCCGCCGAACAAAACTAAAAAATAAATATTAAAACTCACTCTCTCTCTCTCTCTCTCTCTCTCTCTCTCTCTCTCTTCTCTCTCTCTCTTTCTCTCTCTCTCTCTCTCTCAAAAAATATTTTAAAAAATACCTTTTCCACATAAAAATTAAACACTGTTATTTCTGTGATTTTTAGAAACAATGACAAATGGAAAAGTAATAATGTGACCAACTGTTAAGATAATAAAATTCGACAAAGGAGGCATTTAACAACCATTACAGATATGTTCAAATGAAAAGCCAAAATATTTAGGAAACATCTCTTCCAAAGAAATGTCATGTACTGTGTCAGCTTTTAGCCAAATGACAAAGGTATTCTGTTTTACGATTTTTTTCTAAAAGCTGTTTATTGTAAAATAAAACACACATAAAGAAAAACACAAAATAAGTTTATAGCTTAACAAAATATTATTAGGGGAACCTTTGAGTTGAGAAATAGAATTGTGTGGTACTCTGATGTAATTCCATGTGTCACAATCTTGACACCTTCTCCTTCCCTAAAAGTCACTATCATCATGGTTATTAATCATTTTCTTGTAAACCCATATAGTTTTTAGTTT